TAATTTTTGCTTTTGAGGGGTCAATGAACAACCAAAGAAAAGCTAGTTAATAAACCAACAAACATTCTACATTTCTTCCTCACCCATGTCACTCACAACTAGAAAGCAAGATCATTATGAAGCAAGCTTAGACTCTCTAGCCAACTGCATTAGCTCGTAGAGTCTAATTACTACTATCTGAAAAAAGAACACAAACAACACTGAATAGATCCATCTTGTGTGAAAAAGGCTAACCACTGGTCAAAGGAGATACATTTGTGATCTGATCTATTAGGAATCAGTTTCCAGTCCTTCACACAAAATTGACCACCAATAAAAAAGCATAATTACCATTAAATCATTAGACATCTGCTTATGAACAAAAATTTGAGGCGAAGCCATAACATAAAGATAAGTTGAATGTGCAAGAAACTTCCATGAAAAATAAGCTTACTTCTCGTATGGCACATGCATGGTCTTCCTCATCTTTGTTCTTTTTCCCACGTGGGAAGCTCCAGCTAGTCCCTTTCCATCCCTTCACTAGAATGCACTATTAATAGCAGCAATAAACACAAAGTAAAGATACTAGTAGAATGGAAAGCTTAACAATTTACTTCAACATATATGATAATCCTGGCAAATGTTACCTATCTTGAATTTAACATCCTGAATTGCAATAAATAGCTTTAATTTGAAGCTCCATCAATTGGAAATAACATTTGAATGAAAAGACCCAAGAAGTATAAATACAATAACACAAATCTCTGATAAACATATCAAGTGATTGAAATTATGAGGAACAGAGTGAATTAGCCAGATTTAAAAACTAAAAAGGTGCGAAATTTCCATTCTTAAGCATGAATACATGAATGGCAAAGTGAGTTAGCGTTAAAGTCAAGTATACAACTACCATGAAGCTAGCTTGTCAAAGTAGAAACAAGAGAGGGCCAATAAGTAACATTCACTCAAAATTGAAAACATGAAAAGGACAAAAGACTCTTCTTGTTTCTAACTTGCATAAGAAAGACTCACCCGTTCATACGTTTCATCCAAAATAATTGCCCCTGTTACAGGGACACGAACCTTGTAATCGGTGAAATCTTTAAAGATATCATCTATATGAGCAACATAAGGCCTTAAAACATCGCAACTGTTAAACACTGCAGCACATTAAGGAACTGGATAACATTGACGACATGAAAACAAGAAACAGACCATACTCAAAGCATGGAATATCAAGAAAAGTACAGAACTAATAAAATGCCTATAAAGATAGTCTTCTAAAATAAAATAAAAAGGCATGTCAAAAAGAATCTTGCTTATAATTCACTTAATAGTATAACATCTAATCTTCAATTCCAAGAGGGAAAAAAGATGGAATCAGAGGTCATCCTCTCCAGGGACAGAAAAAGTTATAGGCTAATGCTCCAACTCTGCATTATAAAATAGAGTTTTACTCTTTCTAATGGTATAGATTCCATGAAATAGAATTCCAAACTTTTGGGATCATTACATCAAACCCAGACATCAACATTAACTTATATGCTTTTTCTCTTTTTTCCAAAAGAAACAATTTGATTCTTATGACGAACAACCTTCATCCTATTTAGGTGCAACATTAAGGAAGAAGTCAGCATCCAAGCAAAAAACTCCAAGGTCTCATAAAAATGTTATTCAGAAATCAAGCACAGTGAAATTAAATAATATAATCAATAGACAATAATTGGCAGACAAAAATGGAAAAAGAGAACCCACATCTTTGATCTTTGATCTTTAAGAATACGCAAAAAAGCCTTCACCATCTTAACACTTAAACATTTAATCATTAATCACGTCAAAAAATGCACATAAAAAAGGTTGTTACACAACTGGCTTCAACTTGACTAGTGACTAGTGTCTAGATGTATCCTTTTTCATAAACCAAGCTGCGAAACAAGATGATGCCAAAACATTTTGTTTTTATTTTGAATCAATACTTTAATGTAAAAAGCTATGATTATTTCAGATGAAAAGTGGTTAGAACAATTAAAAAAATTAAAAAAAAAAAAGTCATGGAGTTGAAATCAACTGTGAATATTTGACAAAACAGCCATCAGGCCAGTGATAGCAACAAATCACAACAACAAAGGTGCATCAAATATAGGATACATAAAGAGGTGAACTCTTTCAGATTTAATGACTTCAGCGATGGATTTTTTTCCACTGTATTGTCCTCGTAGAACCAATGTGCATATTCCACAAGGAAGAGAATTCTCTCAAATGACTGCTGGTCCTCTTTCGGCACATTTAAAACAAACCGACTGCAGCAAAATTATTGAAAGTATGCTTTAGATAGGATCCAGGGAAAAACACAGAAATAGGGAAACAAAATGGAAGAACTAGAGAGAGAGAGAGACTGCTTCACATTAGTGATAACTCATTTGGAAAAAAAAAGCCTTCAGAGAATAGTATCATACAAACAGACCATCGGTCCTCAATCAAATCATATCAGAGAAACTTTTAAAAATAAATTTCCTAGCAACACAATCAATTTCCTCATTATCTTTAGCTGGTTTGATCAGATATTGCATGAAAAAAAAGACATCAAAGTGAAAAACCAGCTAATATAACTTGTCAAAGAATCATTTGGTAGAAAACTTCAATTCTGTCATACTTGGATGGATGATACTTAAATCATGATTCAAAGTCTAAGCATTATTGAATTTAAACCCTATACTAACTCAATTCTAACAAGCTCGATAGCAATGCTATTAAGAACCCCTATACAATATATGCAATATATGAATATGATTAAGTTTAATTTGCATAATAACCTCCATGCCACGCTACTAATCACACTAAAGACCTTCAAAAACGCACATTTTCAAACAAGCAATATCACAAAAATCATGGCTAATAAGTCAAAGATCCATTTTTTAACCTAATTTAACAATCTTACAACGGAATTCAGTTTTTTCCACTATAGAAAACCATAACACTAGTCAAAATAAATAAAAAAAAATCACTGCAAACTTAACACCAAATTCTCAGGCAACAAGCACAAAAGTGAAACCTGCAAAGATCATCCAGCAGCTCTTGAGGAGGAAGGCCGTTCTTCAACGGCGCACTCGAAGACCGATGGAGACCAGACATAGCTTTTACTAGTTAAAAATTAAACACCTAAAACCCTAACCCTAACTATTTTCTTAGAGAAAGATCCAGCAGATTCTAAAAGAAACTTTTCTTCTAAATTTCTTGTTTTTTTTTATTTTTATCGGAAAAATGGAGATGGAAAGTGGTAAAAGAGATCCCGCCGGCCGGGATCTCTCAAGGGATGGTGACCCGAAAAAAAAAACCCGTTTATCCGCCTCTCTGAAAATGAGTTCGTCTGTGTGAATTTTAGGCTTTTATCGTACCCGGTTTTGAACCTTAACGAACCGGGTTAAATTATCGGGTTGAAGTTGAATTGTTTTCTGGGGCTGGTCCATGGCCCATTAGCCATTATTTGTCTCGGGTTGAAATTGAACTGCTTTCTTGGGCTAATCCTTGGCCCATTAGTCATTAATTATTTGTCAAGTGGCGTTTTCAATTTAAAAAACTTACATGATAGATGGTAACAAATTCGTAATCACATTTTACGGTAAAGGAAAAAGGTTTATATATTAATTTTAAGTTTACTTTATTTTTATATTTTTTATGAAATTCATATTAGTATAAATTTAAATTTATTTTAATACCAAATATCACGAGTTGATGTTATTAATCTAAAACATATCTAATAATGAGTGAAAAATTTATATTTATATATGTAAAATTTATTTAATTTATCATTGATGAAAAATCTAAGATAATATGTTTTTTAAAAATTAATAATTGGATAAGTTAAGATGAGGAGTAAAGAATTAAATCTTTTTAATCTTAAGTCCAACATGAATTTGTAAGGTGTAAATATATTGATAAATAAAGCAAGAAGTGGTGAATTAAAGTCATTAAATAAATTTTTTTTTATATTTTTTAAGATAAATATCAATTTATTAATCTAATTAAACATATAAATATTTAGTTTAATGATATATATACATGTATTTTTTTATTCAAAAAAATAAATTTGAATTCCATTTCTTTCAAAAACTTAACTTGATAAAAGATGAATAATAATGTGATTAGAAATTATAAGAGAACAAGGACTAGTTAATTTGTATAAACGTAATCTTTTAAAATATTATCATATTAATTTCAATCTTTTGTATATTTCATTAATTAATGATTTAAAATATACTTTAAAAAAACACATATATCAACTTCTATTTAAAATTTTTGAATGAGAATTAATAAAATAATAATGTAATTAAGTGTTATACTTATATATATACTAAGCAATAAATGATAAAATGTGTTTAACTATTTATAATTTTATACTACAAATTATTTATGAATTTTATAATCGTTATACTCATTTTATGCATATTTATTGTTTTTTTTTAATTTTGATCTATCTTCTTTAATCAAAATATAAATATAAATTATATGTGTTGGATGAGAATGAAATTTTTACTCTATTGATATTTAATTTTCATTTTCATTTTGTTTTTTCCGATATAATTGCAGGTTTTTTTGGTTTGTTTGTTTACGTTTTTGTTCATTTATTTATTTGTAATTTTTACAATTAAATAAAATGAGTAAGTTATGTTATTTTAAAAAAAACCCTTTGAACAGTAAAAATATATATTTATTCAAATATTATTTTAAAAAATAAAATTAATAAAAGATAAAGTATCTAACAGTAATAACAATCTTCTTATTTCAATTTTGAAATTAAATAAATTATCATTTAATTCTTACATTTGTGTTACCTATTAAGAGACATTAATTTAATTAAATAAAATTACATAAAAAAGAAATTTAAAAATAATAAAAATCCATGAAAATAAGGATGCAAATATTTTTTATATTTTCTGTGAGTTAGGAAATAGATCCAAATTTAAATTCATTTTATTTATCTTTTCTATATTTTATATTTTTTTAGTATTTAGCGGTGCTTGCTTTTAGCACCCAAGCACAATCTCCTGCTTTGACGGGTTAACTTAAAGTCAAAGGTCGACACCACACTGACAAAGAACCAAGCTCTGGTTTCTGCATCAAATCTCTGTTTTAAGTCTCTCCTCTCTCCTTCCTTTCGTATCAAAATCTCTCTCTCTTTTTTTTCAATTTTGTTCGTTACCCACTTCAAATTGCTTATTTTTAATCAAGCTTCTGCATTTTTTTTAGCTTTTAAATTGGCCGTATATTCATGTAATTTTTCTTAATTTGAATTCATTTTATCAGTAAATACCCATTTCTTTTATGTTTTGTTTCTGTTTGTTTATGGCTTTTGAGATTGAAAAGGAATGATCCCACGGAGTGGAATTCGTGGAAATTTTGAAATTATTGCTTACTATGAATGAGAATGTATTTATATCACCTCGGATGATACTAGTTTAACGTTATTTCAAGACTCCTTGATACTTTTAATGGGCTCAAGTTCATGAAATCATTACTCATGATCTAGTCAGTAGCCTGTCATCAGAGGCGGAGGGGAGGGGGCGCCCCTCCCCTCAACAATTTTAAATTTTTGATAACTTATTTTTAATTTTTTAAATCTTATAATTTTATCTTTACAAAATTTTTAAAATTTTTTAATATATATATTTTTTTGAAATTTCACAATTTTGTGTTTATAATAATTTATTATTTGGTGAGATGTGCATAACAATTAATCAAACAATTAATTTTAATAAGATTAAAATAAAACTTATTATAATAAAATTATTCTCAAATCTCACTTTTTCAAAACTTAAAAAAAATTATTTTTTTTTTACATTTTTTGCTTGTTAGCATTCTTTGTGTAGAAAACTTTTAGTTATAACTCAATTTTCGTATCATGCTAAGTGATAAATTTGGTTAATTTACTTATTTTATTTTTAATATTTTTAATTTTAAAATTTTTCTTTATTTAATAATTTTTACTTGGTAGTTTTGATTTGACATTTACAGTCTTAACCCTTTTTTGTTGAAAACAACACAATGTGGATTTGATTAAGTACTTAAGGTTAATTATTGCTTATTTATGTAAGGATTGCTTGATTGTTTTCTTACAAATTCTTTGTGTTTTTTTTTTGCTTAGATTCTTATGAACAATTAAATTTTTTACTTGGGATTATTTCCTTATTGAATTGTTTATTGATATTGTATTTAATTTTTGTGATTAATTTTAGAGAATGACTTCTCCATTGAATTGTTTATTAATAGCCTTTAATATGTTTTAAGAGATTACTTCCCCTTGAGGTTTTTGTTATTATATTTATTAATTTTTGTTTGTTGGTAAGTTGATATTATTGTCATTATTAAATTATTTATGATTATACTAAAATTGATTTCTTTGAATAATTTTTAAAAGTTATTTGTATAATTTTTATATAAACTTTTTTCATCTATATTGTTTTATATTTTTGTTAAACATTGAACTTTTAGTATGAATATTTTATAGAAATTATATTCGACTCTTCACCCCCAAACGTGAAATCCTGACTCTGCCACCACTTGTTATGTCCCAATTTAAGGAAAAGGTAGAATTTTGTGTAAACAATCTTTTGGTTATGTTTTGAACAGATATTTTGGTTAAAAAATGCGGAAACGGCCTCAAAGTTCATCAATTTCGGCTGACACATCAGCCAGCCAATCAAGTGATACCCCAAAAACTGATGAGGAAGCCAAATTTAATAACAATGTTCAGATAAAAAGTGCAAGGAGGTCAGGATTCGTGTGGCTGACATTGTTTGTGGTGATTGTGTACTCCTCTTGGGCTGTTTACTATTACCAGTTTGAGAGTTTGCCTGTGCCTCTTACTGCTGTGCAAGCAGGCAAAAGGGGTTTCTCAGAGGTGGAGGCAACGAAGCATATTAAGGCATTGACTGAATTGGGCCCACATCCAGTTGGTTCTGATGCTCTTGATCATGCTCTGCAGGTTGGGTACATTAAATCATTTTTTCAGTTTTTCAGCTAATTATGATAGGATTATTGTCCTGAATCTTGATTATATGTATTCTCTTTGCAATTGTTATTGGATTCTTTGCTATGCTTAGGAAGAAAAAAGAAGAATCTTAAGTTGGTTTTGATTATAATATTTCAGTTGTTTGAATAAGTTGTAGCTTAGGTTCTTTGCTATAAATATTGTGATGTTAAGAAAAAATAAAATGACGAGATGACATTGTGTTTTTGGTATATCATGCCTAAAAGATGTTCTTAGGTTTATAGGGGGATTAACTTGTGTTTTTATGATTTGATTTATCCCTTATTTTATGATTTAGGCTGCAAAGCTTCTTTTTAGTCTGCAGTCCAGTCATGCATCTTGATTGATCTGTATATTAAATCAACAATGGCTGTTCTAGTGATCCATTTCTTGTGCAATCATGTTGTAGATATAACTGAATATGCTTTCAACCGCAGTATGTTTTGGCAGCATCAGAGACAATTAAGAAAACAGCTCACTGGGAGGTTGATGTTGAAGTGGACTTCTTCCATGTTAATTCTGGTGTAATTCGTCAGCTCAGCGGCATGTTTGTGGGGAGAACGGTTGTCTATTCTGATCTAAATCACATCATATTAAGAATCTTACCAAAATATGTACCTGAAGCAAGAGAAAATGCTATTTTGGTTTCTTCCCACATTGACACTGTTTACTCAACGTATGATTTCTTCCTTCTCTGTTAATCTACTCCATATTGGTTCGAATGAGTTTCCTTATGACCAAAATGGCCAGTGTTTTTTATATGACATGTTGCTTTCGTATGAATTTAGCTAAGTCAGATGGTCTTAACAGTAATTTGTTCTGACATTCTTTTTTGTGGTCAATATGCTTCTCGTCGACCACTATAGTGCTCAAGTTTTAAAGAATAAAACTGCAGGTTGTCAGCATTGTAATATCCAGTGAATAATGTCATTTACATTTCAAAGAAGTCAAAAAAGAGAAGAACAGCTAATTAATTAGTTTCCTGAAGAACAAAAAAGATGATACAAACTTTTATATTGGTCCAGAACAAATACTTCAGATCTGGTTTAAAAGGTTGTAGTTGGGAAAAATTAACTGCAACAATTTGAAGCTCTTTTCTTGAAAAAATTCCACTAGAATCTGTGGCCTCTATCATTTCATGTGGGAACATAATTTATCTGAAACTTTCTCATAACCTTCACGTTTGCATAACACTGCCACGTTTGGGTTTCATCATAATTTATCCTTCATTTCTCTTTGCTTAACAGCTTTAGTTAATATTATGATGATTTGGTTCATGGTAAAATGTCTTGGTGTTCTTTCAGGGAAGGGGCTGGTGATTGCAGCTCCTGTGTTGCCGTTATGTTGGAACTTGCTCGGGGGATTTCTCAGTGGGCTCATGGATTTAAGAATGCTGTGATATTTTTGTTTAATACTGGAGAGGAGGAGGGTCTAACTGGTGCTCATGGCTTTATAACACAGGTTTGAAGTGTTTTTAAGGCCTTCACTTAAAAATTAAATTGTATTTTGTAAGATTTTCTTGAGGATTAGCCACTTAAAGGTGCATTGTTTTGTTTGGGTGTATGTAGTAGTTTACATTTTTCGTAGTACTTGATGATGATACCTTCATGTGTTTTCTCTGATATAGTGACTAGAAGATTTGCAAGAAAAATAGCATAATTAGAATAAAGGAAAAAGAATCTTATATGTCTTGTCTTCTGCACATAACACATTCACAGACATGAAGAATGTCTCTACTGTGTTTAGTGCTTGAACTAACCTATATGAAACCTATGGTTTGGTTTTTTTATTACAGTTTAATGGTTGATTAAACAAATTTTGTCAATAATAAAGTTGGATAGTTACATAAATTTCTAGTCAAACATGTAAGTTCATGCATATATTTTTTTCTTCATAGAGTTAAGATCTAGTACTGCCACTGTGAAAAAAATATAAGCAATTATATTAGAGAAAGGAGTTCAATTTGGTGGAGGATTGGTGAACGCATACATAGATTTGAAAATATTAAGAATGATTGTGAAGGCATTCATTTTGAATGGTGCAAGTTGTGTTATTTATGATATTTGTATATGCTAAAGAGCAAGTGATGTAGCCGGAAGGTTTAGGGCAATTAGAACTCAACAATTAGGGTCAAATAGGGTTGATTGTGTTTGGAACAATAGAAAGATTAAGGGTTTTAAAATAATAATAATAATAATAATAATAATAATAATAATCCCCTATCTAGGATCTCCTGTTTATACTAGTTAGAATAAATCCTAATCAAGTGTAATTTTATTCCTAAATTAAGACTTAAAGTACTGAAATCCTAATAAAGATAGAAAAAGAATCTCGAACTAAATAAAAAAGTCCTAAACCAACTAAAATACTAAATCAAATAAAATTCTAGATGCACTTGCATCATTTCCCTCGAGTCAAAAAAAAACTCAGCTCTAACAAATAGGCCTTAACATATTCCTCGTAGATGTCTAGATCCACTCCTTTCAATTCCTCTTCAGCAATCCAAGTGCTTTCATTAGCAGGTTTACCAAGCCATTTCACCAAAAATCGTCTATATGGGTTCCCTCGACTAGATCGAACCTCTTTCACATCTAACACTTCTTCAATAACTTCAGCCTTAGCAATTGGAAGGTGCTGAACTTAAGCATGTATAGTAGATGCAGTCCCATCACATCCATCAAATGGATATAAGTCCAAAGCATTGAAAATAGGACTGATTTGTAACTCAGGTTGCAACTCTATTAAGTAGGCATTTGAACTGATTTTCTTTAGCACCTTACAAGGTCCAAACTTTCTAGACTTGACCTTGTGATAAGTACACTTAGGAAATCTTTCTTGCCTCAAGTGCACAAGTACTTGATCACCTTCCTCAAATTCCTGCTTACGACGATGTTAATTTGCAGCGAAAGAGTATTCTGCATTGCTGGCTTTTAAGGCAGCTTTTACCTCTTCATTAATCTTTCGAATATGATCAGCAAATAACTCTCCATCATTACTCACTCTAGCTTCTTGTGGTAATGGCATTAAATCCAGCACAGGTTGAGGTTTTGATCCATATGCAGCCTCAAATGGTGTCTTTTTTGTGCTTCAATTGACAGAATTGTTGTAGGCAAATTCAACTTGGGGTATGACTTAATCCCAAGTCTTTGGGTTGTTCCGAATAAGACATCTTAACAAAATCCATATTCAAATGAATCCATGGTGTATCCGGCTCAGGTAAAGGAACATATAAACCTGTGTTTTGAACACTACCTTTACCAAATAAGCAAGCTGGACATCAATTCACCAACCTTTCCACATCTCAGCACATTTTTGGCCAAAAATAACAATCAGCCACCATTGCCAAAGTCTTGTCTCTGCCAAAATGTCCTCCCAACCCATTACCATGAAGTTTTCTAATAATTTGCTCCCTTAAACATCCTTATGGAATGCACAACTGGTTACCTTTGAATAAAAAATCTCCATGCAATCTATAAGGTAAATTTTCAGCTTGTGATGAACCTTGTAAATGAACTATTATCTTACAGAATTAAGGATCAGAACCATACTGATTTTTAAGTTCCTCAAAGCCTATGACTTGAGTGGTTATAGCTGATAATAGTAAATGTCGTCTCCTCAAAGCCTCAGCCACAGTATTAGATTATCCAGATTTATTATTTAGTGAAAAATTAAATTCATCAAGGAAAGAACTCCACTTTTTCTGCTAATGCAAGTACCTTAAAGCTTGATGGTTAGAATAAATAGCAAACTCACGGTAAACCAAGTAATGCTGCCAATGACAAATAGCCCTTACCAAAGCGTAGAACACTAGGTCATAAGTTGAATAATGTCATCTAGAGTCCGTCAACTTTTCATTAAAAAAACTCTATAAGAGCTAACCATCTTTGTTAGGAGCTAACCAAGCGGGGCAAGCATAAGGACTTTTACTTTCACACACTATTTCTCCAACAACTCCTTGACTTGTCTTTGTATCTCAACTCATTGCATAGGTGGCATTCTATGTGCTAACGGGTTTGGTAATGATGCTTCTAGTACCAAATTAATTGCATGTTGGATGCTCCTTAGAGCTGGTAGGCTTTTTGGCAAATCCTCATTAACCAACTCTTTGAACTCCTTCAATAGCTGCTGAATTTCAGTTGAATATGTAGGATATTTACCCATTTGATCACTCTTCAAAAGCATAATTAACAAAGCATACATAATTCCCATCTCACTACTTTCAGCTTCAACATTTTAGCAGATAAATAGTCAGTGATTTTACTGATTTTGTTGCTTGTAGAGCTTGAAGTTGCCGATTGCTTAGCCTCTTTTTTAAGAGGATATAAAGTATATATCTTGTTGTCCTTGTAGAAGGAATAGGTA